CAGTGGGTAGAAAATTACTAAAAGGAAACATCAAGAGTGACATGGAATTCTGGCTAAATGGACCTAACAGGATTCTTGCTGAAGACAGGCCAGGGTAATTAGACATCACCTGGGGGATGGTGGAGGATGAGGAAGCTGATTAGATGTAAAGAATGATGATACATGAAGGATGGGGGATTCTGGCTAAACCAACTTATCAGGATTCTTTGCTGAAATTGGACAATACAGAGAAGTCCAAAACTCAAGGACTACTTGAGAAATTCAGGGGAGTCTGAGCAGAATTTGGTTAAGGAGATAATCTTTTTCACCACCCAAGACCTGGGATACACACCTGGATGAAAAGATGAACAATCACCTTTAGATCATCTTCATAGAGAGCTCAGCATCTGATGTAAGTGATTTCTCTACTGTGCCCAAGGAGATCTAGAAGAGAATGGGAGGATGAAGATTCAGGGATGCTGGTACTCACCTGGCTCTGCTGGTACTGCCCTGCCTTCATGTTTCACATTTTGGGCTCTTTCTAAGCTTTTTGTGTGAAGACTTTTACAAATCCAAGGACAAATGGATAAAAGTAGAATATTATGTATAGCTCAGTAATACACTGTTTATTTTCATGGTCTATTTTATTTTTGTTAGTTTGTTTATTTTGAGACATGGTCTTGCTCTGTCACCCTGGCTGGCGTGCAGTGGTGCAATCTCAGCTCACTGCAGCTTCAACTTCCTGGGCTCAAGCAGTCCTCGTGCCCCAGGCCCCCAAGTAGCTGGGACTACAGGTGTGTGCCACCATACCTGGCTAGTTTTTTTTGTAGAGACAAGGTTTCACCATGTTTCCCAACTGGTCTCAGACTCCTGGGCTCAAGCAATGCACCCGCCTCTGCCTCCCAAAGTGCTGGGATTACTTACAGGCATGAGCTACTGAGCCCAGCTTTATATTTTTAGAGATAGGATCTCACTCTGTCATCCAGGCTGGAGTGCAGTGGCACAATTACAGCTCAATGAAGACTTGACTTCCCCTATCTCAAGTGATTCTCCCACCTCAGCCTCCTGAATAGCTAGGACTGTGAGCACAGGCCATCACAGCTGGCTATTTTTTTTTTACTTTTATTTTTTGTAGAGACAATGTCTTGTTTTGTTGCCCAGGCTGGTCTCAAACTCCTATGCTCAAGCATTTCTCCCATCTTGGCCTCCCAAAGTGCTGAGATTACAAGTGTGAGCCACCATGCCAGGACTTTATTTTACATATATATATATATGGTGAAACAATAAAAAATATATATTTGGTCCTTGTGCCTAGTTCCTCACACAAAGCTTCTGAAACATTTAGAATTTAGAATTTCCTGAGTGATAAGAACATTGTTTGTTATTCATAACAAGCTCCTTTCAACAATAGAACACATGCTAATGAGATGAGGTTGAGAGTATGACCCATGAGGAAGTGTGCTACATTCGAAAAGAGCCTCATGAATTTTCTAATTTATTTAAACAAAAATCTGGACAACAGACATGGGAATGGATATTAAGGGTGTGGGATAATGGTGGAAGGAACATAGAGTTGGATCAGGCTGAGTTTATTGATTTGGGCCCACTAAGTAGGGACTCTGCATTTAATGTTGCAGCTTGGGGAGTTAAAAAGGTTCTAATAGTTTATTTGCTTGGTTTGCTGAAATATGGATTAAAAGATGGCCCACTGTGAGTGAAATGGAAATGCCTGATCTCCCTTGATTTAATGTAGGAGAAGGGATCCAAAGGCTTAGGGAGATTGGGATGATGGAGTGGATTAGTCGTTTTAGACCTACTCATCCCAGCTGGGAGGGTCCAGAATATATATCCTTGACTAATGCCTTGCAAAATAGATTTGTGAAGGCAGCACCCGCATTTTTGAAGAGCCCTGTAATTGCTCTTCTCTGTATGTCAGATCTAACGGTGGGAACCGCAGTCAAAATTTAAATACAATGGGAATAATTGGATTCCGAGGTGGCAGTGGCCAAGTGGCAGCACTCAACTGTCAAAGGCAAGGTGGACATAGCTACCGTAATGGACAGCAGAGGCAAAGAAGCAATCAGAATAGTCTGACTCACACAGAGCTGTGGTATTGGCTAATTAATCGCAGTGTTCTTAGAAAATGAATTGATAGGAAGCCTACTGCATTCTTACTTAATTTATATAAGCAGAAAACTTCTAGGTCAAATGGAAAAAAGACTAATTTGAATCATGGAAACAGAGAATCATGGCCCCTCAATCAATTTCCAGATTTGAGTCAGTTTACAGACCCAGAATCCCTTGAATGAAGGGGAGGCCATGTCCCCTTAAGGAAGGACCCCACTACATTACGAACAATTTATGCAGTGAATCTTTCTCCCATCATTCCCCCAGGAGACCTTTTAGCAGGGTAACTGTGTAGCCTTTTAGCAGGGTAACTGTGAATTTGGGAAAGGGAAATGATCAGACATTTAGGGGACTACTGGACACTGGCTCTGAGCTGACGTTGATTCCAGGGGACCCAAAACATCATTGTGGTCCTCCAGTTAAAGTAGGGGCTTATGGAGGTCAGGTAATTAATGGAGTTTTAGCTCAGGTTCTAGTTACAGTGGGTCCAGTGGGTCCCCGGACTCATCCTGTGGTCATTTCCCCAGTGCCAGAATGCATAATTGGCATAGACATACTTAGTGGCTGGCAGAACCCCCACATTGGCTGGTAGAATGAGGGCTATTATGGTGGGAAAGGCCAAATGGAAGCCATTAGAGCTGCCTCTTCTTAGAAGAATAGTAAATCAAAAACAATATTGCATCCCTGGAGGGATCATGGAGATTAGTGCTACCATCAAGGACTCGAAAGACGCAGGGGTGGTGATTCCCACCACATCCTTGTTCAGCTGTCTCCCATTTGGCCTGTGGAGAAGACAGATGGATCCTGCAGAATGACAGTGGATTATCGTAAGCCTAACCAAGTGGTGACTCCAAGTGCAGCTGCTGTACCAGATGTGTTTTCATTGCTTGAGCAAATTTACACACCTCCTGGTACCTGGTATGCAGCCATTGATTTGGCAAATGCATTTTTCTCCATTCCTGTCCATGGGCTCCTCCTACCTTTAAGTCAACAGTCCAAGAAGGCAGTTACAGTGTTGGCTGGGGTGATTGACCTAGACTATCAAGTCTCGGTCTACTACTGAAATCAGTCTACCACTCCACAATGGAGTTAAGGAAGAGTATGCATGGAATACAGGAGATCCATTAGGGTGTCTCTTAGTGTTACCATGCCCTTTGATTAAAGTCAGTGAGAAACTACAATAAGCCAATTCAGGCAGGACTACAAATGACCCAGACCCTTCGGGAATGAAGGTTTGGGTCACTCCACCAGGAAAAAAACCATGACCTGCTGAGGTGCTTGCTGAAGGCAAAAATAATACAGAATGGGTAGTAGAAGAAGGTAGTCATCAATACCAGCTATGACAACGTGACCAGCTGCAGAAACGAGGACTGTAGTTGTCATGAGTATTTCCTCCTTCTTTCATTAAAAACATGTTTGTGCATGTATATGCTTGTACTAAGACAATATCTTCATTTTATTTCCTTTTTCCTTTAGCATGTGACGTAAGATTTATTTACTTCTCATCGGCATTTAGGTATTGTTAACTTTATGAAATAGTATTTGGGTTGGGGATTGTTGCATTTCCGGTTGTGCAAAGGATAGTTGTATTATGCTAGGCATAATTATGACCTTATTATTGTCCTTATTTGAAGATTTGTATGATCTCAGGAGATGTATATGGGCTCAGGTTGACAAGGGATGGACTTGTGATGGTTAATACTGAGTGTCAACTTCATTGGATTGAAGGATAGAAAGTATTGATCCTGGGTGTCTCTGTGAGGGTGTTGCCAGAGGAAATTAACATTTGAGTCAGTGGGCTGGGAAAGGCAGACCCATCTTATTCCGGGTGGGCACAATCTAATCATCTGCCAGCGTAGCTAGAATATAAGCAGGCAGAAAAATGTGAAAACAGAGACTGGTGTAGCCTCCCAGCCTACATCTTTCTCCCGTGCTGGACGCTTCCTGCTCTCAAACATTAGACTCCAAGTTCTTCAGTTTTGGAACTCAGACTGCTCTCCTTGCCGTTCAGCCTGTAGACAGCCTATTGTGGGACCTCATGACCGTGTGAGTTAATACTTAATAAACTCCCATATATATATGGAAGTTATCATATATGTAGAACTGGAAGTTTTCATATCCACCTGGACACACTGGGCTCTCTATATTTATTCCATTAATTCTGTCCCTCTAGAGAACACTGACTAATACAAGCTCACACTTGTAATTCCAGCACTTTGAGAGGCTAAGTGGGGACAATCACTTACGGCAGGAGTTTGAGACCAGCCTGGGAAACATGGCAAAACCCTGTCTCTTCAAAAAATACAAAAATTAGCTGGGCGTGGTGGTGCACACCTGTAGTCCCAGCTACTCAGGAGGCTGAGGTGGGAGAATCACTTGAGCCTGGGAGGTTGAGGCTATACTGAGCCATGATTGCACTACTGCACTCTAGCCTGGGTGACAGAGGAAGACCCTGTCTGAAAAACAAACAAACAAAAACAAAAAAACCCTTAACCAACAGGGTTTGAAGAGCTCCCAAGTTGGTGACCACATTAAGTTCTTGGGACAGTGGTACACCAGGAGAGGGCATGGAGGCTTTGCACCCCTCCCCCGATGCCCTGCTCAATGCATCTCTTCCATTTGGCTATTCCTGAAGATAATCCTTTATAATAAACTGGTAATGGTAAATGAAGCACTTTCCTGAGTTCTGTGAGCTGTTCTTGCAAATTATTAAACCCAAGGAGGTGCTTGTGGTAAAGGGGAGGAAAGACTTTTCCTCTACCTTCTTAGGTTTTGTGGCTGTACCTAAGGATTAAACTGAGAAAAGGCAGGTTAACAGGAGATAAGGATACACATTTTATTTGACATTAACACTTTTACATGGCAGGGGAACCTTCATAGAAGAGAAATGAAGACCCAAAGAAGCCGACAGACCTGAGCGCTTACATACCATGTTAACAAAGAATGATAAATTGTAGAGCTGTGACAAGACAAGGCAAAGGGTCTTGGGCTATGCACAGTGAACTGTGGGAAAATGACCAGGAAATATATGGTGAAAATTAATGGAAGATAAGACTTATTTTAGTGTTTGTACAGATTCATCTCAGTTTCCATGCCTCACTTCTGTTGATAAGAATGTTCTCAAAAAGTAAAGGAAACCAAGATCTGCGCAGGGGTTTCCTCTGCCCATTCCTCCCACCTCACCCTTCAAACCTAAACTTGAGCCTGTTGCTCACTGGGCTAGCATTGCTCTCACCATGGCTCTCAGCAATGCTGATGTGCAAAAGCAGATAAAGCATATGATGGCTTTCGTTGAACAAGAAGCCAATGAGAAAGCAGAAGGAATAGATGCAAAGGCAGAAGAAGAGTTCAACATAGAGAAAGGTTGGCTTGTGCAAACCCAAAGGCTAAAGATTATGGAATATTATGAGAAGAAAGAGAAACAGATTGAGCAGCATAAGAAAATTCAGATGTCCAATTTGATGAATCAAGCAAGACTCAAAGTCCTCAGAGCGAGATGACCTTATCACAGGTTTGTACCAGTTGCTGGAGCCCTGAATGATTGATTGTTGCAGGAAACAAGATTTCCCTCTGGTAAAGGCTGCGATGGAAAAGGTAATCCTTATGTACAAAATTGCCACCAAAAAAGATGTTGATGTCCAAATTGACCAGGAGTCCTGCCTGCTGGAGGACATAGCTGGTGCAGTTGACATATATAATGGGGATCGTAAAATAAAGGTTTCCAATACCCTGGAAAGCTGGCTGGATCTCATAGTCCAGCAGATGATGCCAGAAGTCAGGGGGGCTTGTTCAGGGCAAATGCCAACAGGAAGTTTTTGGACTAAGCCTTTGGGAGGTGGAGCTCGTCCTTAGCTCTCCTGCTGTGATGTGGAAGCTTCTGATATTTGAAGAAACACAAATGTCTCTGTAGCTTCCCCTTTACTGCCCCAGTGTTGCTCTGTATTTATCAGTGATGCCCCTCTGTCACCAATGCCTTGCCTAATTGTTCACAGTGGTGGAAAGCTTCATGTAATATGATCAGGACTCACCTCCAGTTCATCCAAAAGTAAAAAAAAAAAAAAAAAAAAAGAATGTTCTCCTCTTCCTGGTATAAAGAGGTTGCATTTCTCATGGGAAATTTATGTCCTGGTGTTTTTTTTTTCTTTCTTTTTTTACAGAATTTTGCTCTGTCACCCAGGCTGGATGGAGCACAGTGGTGTGATCTCAGCTCACTGCAACCTCCACTCCTCAGGTTCAAGTGATTCTTGTGCCTCAGCCTCCTGAGCAGCTGGGATTACAGGCACGCACTACCACACGTGGCTAATTTTTGTATTTTTAGTAGAGTTGGGTTTTTGCCATGTTGGCCAAGCTGGTCTCAAACTGCTGGCCTCAAATCATCCACCTGCCTCAGTCTTCCAAAGTGCTGGGATTACAGGCGTGAGCCACTGTGCCTGGTCTATGTCCTGTTTTAAGGTAGAAAGGTGTAGATCAGAGAGCCCTTCCTACATCTGCTGTCTCTCAAGCACCTTCAGGTCGAAATAACCAATATGCCAAAGTGGCATATTTTGGGTGGCATGTTCTGGTTCACTTCATGGGGAGCCCCTGATTTATAGCTGGTTGGTCAGAAATACAGGTGGAAACCTGGGAGTTGCAATTGGCATCTGAAGTTAGGGCAGTCTTGTGGGACTGAGCCCTTAACCTGTGGGGTCTGTGCTACTGCCAAGTAGTGAATGGCAGAATGGAGTTGAATTGTAGTACTCCCCGTTGGTATGTAGAGAATTAGAGAATTGGCTTTGGGTGAAAGAAAAAAAAAATCGCACACTTGGTGTCTGAAGTGTGTAAAAACAGCTCAGATATATCTGTATATCTACATCTGTATAGATACATTGATATATTAGCCTTTTTAAGGTATCCGTCCCTGTAATTGGGAGTTGATGAAAAGCACAGAAGAAGAACATGGACTTTGCATTTCACTAAGCCCAGGTTTGAATTCTGTTTCTCACATTTCCTGGATGTGTGACCTTCAGCAGGTCACTTAAACTTTGTGAGTCTCAGATTCCTCATCTCCATTACTAGCTTCACAGAGTTGTTGTATTACATGAAATAAGGTGGGCAGGGCAGGGTATACAGCTGGCGGGGGGCGGTGGCGCTGACTTAATGAAGTCAGCCCTTAAGATTGAATCTTTAGCATAGAGGGAGAAGGGAAGGATGAAGGTCCAAGGAGCTGGATAGGCCCTTCTACTTCTGGCATCCAGCTTGTGTAGCTAGGCCAGCCCATTCAGCCCATTCATTGTCCACTAGACTTTATTCTAAGTCAGACTCAGAGCTACAATGTGTGAGAAAACTGTGTGGTGTTTTTACACTTTCATGGATGAGCACCTTTCCATGCTGACACACTGTGGCATGGAAACTGTATAATTTGTTATTAGCAGGTTTATCAAATCCCTGGTTGTTCACCAGGTCTCCTGTCACACTAATTAGGGCATCTAACTGGTGTTGGTTGCCTTAAATGCATATTTATCCTTGTCCACAAGCATAATTATTCTTGGCTTTTTTTTTTCCTTCAACATGTATAGGAAAATAAAAACACATAGAAAAATAATGTAGTAAAACAGATTGAAGTTTGATGACATTTAAATTCCTAGAAACACCGGGCGTGGTGGCTCACGCCTGTAATCCCAGTACTTTGGGAGTCCGAGACGGGTGGATCACGAGGTCAGGAGATCGAGACCATCCTGGCTAACACGGTGAAACCTCATCTCTACTAAAAATACAAAAATTAGCCAGGCGCAGTGGCGGGCACCTGTAGTCCCAGCTACACGAGAGGCTGAGGCAGGAGAATGGTGTGAACCCGGTAGGCGGAGCTTGCAGTGAGTGGAGATTGCGCCACTGCACTCCAGCCTGGGCGACAGAGGGAGACTCCATCTCAAAATAAATAAGTAAATAAATAAATTCCTAGAAAATTTGCAAGTGATGTTAAAATTAGTGAAGAATTTGTCCTGTGCTGATGTGCAGGGCTATTCATAGAATAACACTTGCCCCCACCTGTTCTCTACTTTCATTCCCAAAAGTACCATCTGACACTTGGGTGTGGGGGCTTTTGACAACACAAAACTACCACTGTCACAAGGAGCCCCAGTTACATTACAAGATAGAAAACACTCCCCTTTTCCATTATGTCAACAGTGATGCTGTATGTTTTCTGTTCTTCCAGCTGCTTGTTCCCTGAGTCAGGTATTGCTATGTATATAGGGCCCCAGTGGTTCACCTCAGAGACATTCTGCAATATGTGTCCTAAAGCAAGAGACAGGCTCAAACCTACCCGACCATCTATTTGATAATAGTCATTGCTAGAATCTTTAATATGTTACTAATGATGATGTCATGCCTAGAGCAGCAGCACCCAATAACTACTGAGCACTTAAATAAAGGTAATTATTAGGACTAACTCCAAACCTCTTGGGTAAAAAAGCCTAGGGGATATTTTTGTCATGTGATACAGGTGCCCATGGTCCAATCAACTCGGTCATCTGAACAAAGCAAGCTCAACATTGGAAACCACTTCTAGTAAAAATACTTAGTTTAAATTATCACATTTGTAACAGGATTCCTAATTAGACCCCACTTTTCTGAATATATAGAGGAAAAGATGCTTTTCTTTTTAGTATACATATGTTCTTATATGGGCCACAATTAGCACTTTGAATTGCCAAGGCTGATCTCAAACTTCTGGCCTCAAGCAATCCTCCTGCCTCAGCCTCGTGAAGTGCTTGGATTACAGGTGTGAGCCAACATGCCATACCTGAATTGTACTTTTTACATTTAGATGAAAGAGGATGGTTATTAAACTCTAAATGAACAATGCAGATGGGAACAGAGTGACAGGATTGAACTGTATTAGTAGCAAAAGCTCTTTTTTTTTTTTTTTTTTTGAGATGAAGTCTCACTCTGTCACCCAGGCTGGAGTGCAGTGGTGCAATCTCGTCTCACTGCAACCTCTGCCTCCCAGGTTCGAGCAGTTCTCCCTGCCTCAGCCTCCTGAGTAGCTGGGATTACCGACACCTGCCACCATACCTGGCTAATTTTTGTAGTTTTAATAGAGACGGGGTTTCTCTATTTGGCCAGGCTGGTCTCGAACGCCTTGGCCTCCCAAAGTGCTGGGATTATAGGCATGAGCCACTATGCCTGGCCACAAAAGTTCTTGAATGGATTGGTTTATTAACCACTTAGTTTCAGTTTCAGGTACATTCTAAAACAGCATTACCTTTTGGTAATGATGGAGATGTTCCATATCTTGTCTAATCATGTCTAATACAGTAGCTATTGGCCACCTGTGGCCATTGGGCTTTTCAAATGTGGCTAGTGCTGCTGAATAACTGAATTTAAGTTTACATTTAAATAGACACAGGTAACTAGTCTTTTCAAATATTCACTGCAGCTCTAGAAAAACAGAAAAGACCTTACAGGCTTTAGTGGTACGTTTTGAAATATTGGCATAAAATTAAATAGACAAATCCCCAAACAGATTGAAACATAGTTTAACAAAATCTAAACTGAACCAAAGTTTAGTAATACCATAAAAGCCTTTATAAAATGTCTTTTCTATTATTCTAGAGCTGCGGTGAATATAGGCTCTCCATATTCGTGAGTTCCACGTTCATAGATTCAGCCACCAGAAGACAGAAATCATACTAAAAAAGAATTGAATCTGTGCTGTACATGTACAGACCTTTTTCTTGTCATTATTCCCTAAACAATACAGTATAACTATTTACATGACATTTTTTGTTGTAGTTAGTATTATAAATAATCTAGAGATTATTGAAAGTATATGGGAGGGTATGCATAGGTTGTATGAAAATACTATACCATTTTCTATCAGGCACTTGAGCATACTCAGATTTTGGTTTCCAGGGGAGATCCTAGAACCAATTTTCCATGGATACTGAGGGACAACTGTATGTATGTGTGTGTAATTTTTAAAAATAAATATAAAACCTAGAGATTTTCTAAAACCAGTGATGTGGGGCAAAAGTAAAAGCACAAGAAACTGATGAATCTCTCAGGTTTCATGGATAGTTTTTACATATGAAAGCTTGACAATCTTCCCCACAGGAATGGGACTTTATGAATGTAATTGAACCTCTTGCAACAGAGAAAGCAGATGTCTTATTCTTGTAGTGTCCCTTCTAAAAAATGGTCCTCAGCTGGCCCGTGCTACCAAGCATTCCATAAGATATGCATCATGCTAAATGACTGAAGGAATTCATAACCAAGCCACTGAAGAAGGGTGTCAATTGCTACATGCACACTAGACAATACAGCAGCAGATGACCCTGCACTCAGGCTCTCTTGTCATTATTGCCTTACACCTGCCAGCCTCTGGTCCTTGGTGTCCGGGAGACCAGACTTTCCACCAAGTACAGAAACAGATTGAACTATATACTTTATTTCTGAGTGGAGAGCACAGATGATCCTAATTCTCCAGACCATTGTTACAAAATGAAATTTAAAGCTAACATAGGCCGGGCACGGTGGCTCACACCTGGAATCCCAGCACGTTAGGAGGCCAAGCCGGGCGGATCACTTGAGGTCAGGAGTTTGAGACCAGCCTGGCCAAAGTGGTGAAATCCTGTCTCTACTAAAAATACAAAAATTAGCCGGGCATGGTGGCGGGCGTCTGTAATCCCAGCTACTCAGGAGGCTGAGGTGGGAGGATTGCTTGAGCCCGGGAGGCAGAGGCCGCAGTGAACCGAGATTGTGTCACTGCACTCCAGCCTGGGCGACAGAGTGAGACTCTATCTCAAACAAACAAACAAATAAAAATAAATAAATAATTAAAATAAAGCCAACATAGAAAGAGGCAGGGACGTGAAGACTAAAGTTGTTTTTTCTCAATTTTTTAATGAGCTTGCACAAAAAAGAGAGAATTCAAGTTTGGTTAGTGAATTGGATGGAATGAGGTTTAAGAGACAACTTAAGACTGTTACAGGATGATTGTGCAGGTAACACTAACATCCTAACAGATAAGCCTTGGTGATCTCGTCCTCCTTTCCAGCATACC